CTATAGATTCGTTAAGAGGTATAGGTAAAGCGCCTATCTATCTAATAGATAAAGACTACCGATATACCCGTAGATAGTCTCACTAAGTACTTACCTAGATAGAAGTATACTAAAATTATTAGATAACTAGGGATAGAGATACTATCTCCTATCTAGTCCTTATTTTATTTCTCTTTTCTCTTATTTAGTTCTTACTTTACTCTTATTCTTATTATATATCGAGAACTAAGGGGGTATATTAATATATAGATATTATAGGGTTATATAACGAAGGACCTACTTATATAACCCCTCTCTTATCTAGATCTTCTCTAAAAAGATCTATTAGATTAGTCCTTAACGATATTATATTAAATTATATACTCGTATTAAATTACCTACCTAGGTAGGAGACTATCTAACACTCTAATACTCTTTACTTTCTTATATAATCTTTTACTATATTTCTAAGATATAAATACTATTATATTTCCTAACTAAATTAAATCAAGTTTATCATTCTTTATTATCTCTCTTCTAGATCGGTAGTACTCTTCTATAATCATGGTATTTCTCCTTCATAGAAGTACGCACGACCGATAGACTTATAACCGTGTATTCAGACACTACGTTAAGTATTTACCCTTATACACACTATCGTCTTATGTGTATAACCACGACTTTATGGTTACCGCCTAGAGTCCGATATAATATATAATCTTTAAATTATTAGTAAAAGATAGGAATATAACGTAAAAGAGATACTTCTCTTACTAGGCTTTAAATCCTATCCTAAAGATCTTATACTTTATACTAATAATCGTATAGTTATTATAGTTTTTATTAACGATTTCCTAGCTATCTATTACTAAGTAAGAGATTAAATACTTACTAGATAAAGTAACTTCTCTTATAATACTTTAAAATAAAGGACTATAGGGAACTTATATAATTTATTAGTATTTAAATTATTAGAAACTAGTAATAGCGAAAGACCTAGCTAAACTAATTAGTCTATATTAAAAAGATTACTATTAAATTTAATCTTTTAGGTAGAAAGCTACCTAAAATACTACTTATTAGTAATTATAACCTTAGTCCTACTAATCTATCTAATCTATATACTATTAAGCTATATTAGTAGAAGTATAGATTAATCCTTTTTACTATAGTTTAGATAAGACTAGATACTACTTTTACTAACTACTAGTATAATCTCTTATATACTATAATAAGAGATACTTAGCTAGTACTAACTACCTAATATCCTATTTATATAGGATAAAGGATCTATCTATCTATTTTAATAGCTAAGTAAGACTAGAAGTCCCTACTTCTGCCTTAGATATAAGCTTTATAGATAATCCTAATAGGAAATTATCTAAAGGATTTATCTTTTTATTATTTAGTAGTCTAATCGAGTAGAAATCTCGTAAGTAGAAGATAATCACTATATCTACTATAGAGGCTAAATTACTAGCTATCTTATATAGAGCTAAGTAGCTATACTAGATAAAATAACTCTTCTTATTTATCGAATTTAATACTAAATAGTAAAAAGTATTAAATTACGATAATAAGTAAACCGTTAACCTATTAAATCGTGAGAAATTAGTATTTTAGACTAAATTTCGCTATATAGATATTAATTAGCTTTAGATTTAGGAAGAGATTTAGGCTAAGCGCTTAACTATCTAATAGGTTAAGACTACCGATATACCTACTAATAGTCTTACTAAGTACCTACCTAGGTAGAAATATACCGATTTCGTTAGATAGCTAGGTATAGAGATACCACCTATCTAGTCTTCCTATTTCTCTTATTTAGCTCTCAATTTACTCTCACTCTACTCTTACATCGAGAACTAAGGGGGTATATTAATATATAGATATTATAGGGTTATATAACGAAAGGCCTACTATCCCTTATTACTTCTAGATCTTCTCTGTAAGATCTATTAAATTAATCCTTAACGATCTCGTATTGAATTACCTACCTAGGTAGGAGACTATATAACACTCTATGGTTACTTCTGATATTCCTAATCTCTTATATAATCTTTTACTATATTTCTAAGATATAAATACTACTATATTTTCTAGTTATATTAAATCAAGTTTATCATCCCTTTTGATCTCTCTTCTAGATCGGTAGTACTCTTCCACAATCGTGGTACTTCTTCTTCTTTCTAAAGGTACGCACGACCGATAGACTTATAACTGTGTATTCAGACACTACATTAAGTATTTACTAACCACGACTTTATGGTCACCGCCTAAAGTCTGATACCTATTAAACTACTAGAGGAACTAGATATCTAATTAAGAAAGAACCCTAATCTATCTAATAAAGAGATAGTAACTAAATACTAATAAGAAATAGATTCTTTACCTATTCGCTAGTCTAAAGACTAGGATAGATATCGCGTTCCCTATTAACTATTATATACGTTATATAGCTAATCCTAGCTAAGACTATATAAATATCCTACTAAAGATTTAGCGATATCTACTATATAGACCTAATATAGATCTACTATATAACTATTAGGGAGATAACCTATCTATAAAAAAATACTCTAACGCTAATTAGGTAGATAATCTAGATAGTAGAAAATCTACTACTAGATACCTATTTAGCCTATCTAGTAATATAGGCCTAAATAACCCTATCTTATAGAATTTAATACTTTAAAAGTTAGTAGTACTAAGTAGCTATAAAGCTAAATATATAGCTATAAAAGAAGCCATTAAAGAAGCTATCTATCTATCTAATATATTAAACTATCTAAATAAGGACCTAGACCTAGATTATCTACCTAATATACCTACTATATTAGTAGATAATAAATTAGCTATTAAACTAGGTCAAAACCCTAAATTCTATAAGAGATCTAAATATATTAATATCTAATATCACTATATACGAGAAGCTATTTAAGAAGCTAAGGTTAAATTAATCTATATAAATATATATTAACTAGTAGATCTATTAATAAAGAATATTAACAAAGTCCTATTTAAAGAATTTATTAAACTAGCTAATTTAGTAGAGATTAATAATCTTACTAAGAAAGGCTAATCTATCTATCTACTACCTACTAATCTATATATCTAACTATATATAGATTACGGGGGAGTATTAATATAGATAGAGATTACCCTATAAGGACCGGTCTAAACAGAACTTCTAGTATACTTCTAGAATATATATAGGATCTTCTAGGATCTTATAGTATCTACTAGATACCTATAATATCAAGACTAGGTATTATTTAATCAAATTAGGTTATATAGAATCTAGTAGAACTAGATAAATCTGCTAGACTATCCCGCTTTTTGAATTATAAAAAGGACCATAAATCCCTGTCAAATAGTTTTGAATTCTAAGTCTTAATTTATTCTTTCAATCTGCCTACCACTTCACTTACCTATTTAGGCAACTATCTATTTCACCTACCTACCCTACCTATCCTACCTACCTATCCTATCCTATATAGCTATATCATATAGCTATACACGAAGGTTAAGTATACCCACAAGCTTCCTATACGCTAATCATATCCTGGCTTGCTTATATTATCTAATAAATAGATAGTGACTAAATATTAATAAGAAATAGGTTCTTTACTATTCGCTAGTCTAAATACTAGGATAGATATCGCGTTCTATATTAACTATTACATACGCTATATAGCTAATCCTAGCTAAGATTATAGTTTTGTTGAAATAAAGTCCCCAAGAACAAGAGGAGTATTTACAGAGGTTCCTGACAGGACAAACTTCAAGGACTGGCTCCCGCCCGGGTTGAAGGATTTTTGACCCACAGAGGAATGTAAAGTCGGTGCGTTCAAGGTGAACGATCGGATTGAATGAAAAGTGGCTGCTTGATCATGAGATTCGGAGCGCACTGGAAAGTATCAGAAACCACTTCTTCGTCTGGCCCAACATGCACCCGAGACTATCTTAGTTTCCCTCGAGGCAAACCCAGCTTACTGGCGCCAATACCTGGACTTTTGACTTATATTTCATGGCGGCTAGATGTTGGCGCTATGTGGCTAAGGGGGCCGGCACCTGTCACACACTTACCTCTCCTTTAGCTCATTGCCGTAGTTTTTGGGTTACGTAGTTGCGTAGGACGATCCAGAGAGACATGTGATTATTAATCATGGTGCGTAATCTCGCGAGACTCTATAAATAGATTTCTATAAAACCTAACGGGTTTTAAGCTATAAGCGCTCGTATTAACTTTATGAGATCATGGGCTACGAAGCGTATATAAAAAGGATGAGGATCATGGCACGAAGATATCGGGCCATGATCCTCGTCCTATAAAAAAATAATTAATATACGAGGTGCAAAGACTTTAATATCTACTAAGTCTCTTCATATTTTATCTTCATAATTCTTGCTTTGCACTTGTCTACTATAACTAGACTATTACTATATACCTAGCTTGCTAAGCAATCCTCTTAATATTATAGAATGTCCGCACCGAAACCGCTAGGGAGCCAGCGGCCTTGATTAAGAAACAGCAGGAAGATTCTTTAGCTACACTTCCTCTTGATGCTCTGTTCATTATTCTCTGGATTCGATCTGACCCACCCCGTCTAAATGACTTTCACTGGGGCTACTACTGGTCGATTTGGTCGCAGACCAGTTAAACAGAATAGAGAAAGGTAATGTTCAGATGAACCCCCCATGTCCATCGGAGTTCAGTCAAGTCATTTAAGTAGGGCTATTGACCTATTGCATTCTGCTTCGTATCATTGGTTCCTTTACAACCAAGCAGAAGTCATACCGGGACCGCTCAGGTAAACGTTGATCTGCATGGCCTGGAGCTTGCCGTTGTAGTACTGCAGAACCTCAAGCGTATCGCCGGTAGCGTTCATTGGAGAGAGAACAGGCAGCGTTGCCTTAGCCTTCATCTCGGCAAACCATACATCCTGAGCGGCCTGAGCAGTGGTCATTCTGTTGGGGATGAAGGCAGAAACGTTGCCGTTGTAGGGGTAGACCTTTCCATGAATGATGCCGCTGGTGATGATGAAGCCAAGTTCCTCATCAATAACCAGATTCACACGAGCGTTGTCGTCGGTAGGGTGGTTGTCAGGCCAGCTGCAGCCGAGAGGATCGGTGCTGCCGTTTCCATACACTCCAGTGTCAACAACCCTCCAGCCCAGCTCAGTAAACTGGCAATTGTCATCGACAGTAACCACAGTCTCGCTGGAAGTAGCGAACAGAGCCTCGCTCACAGCCTCGAGGGTCTTACGGCTATTCTTGGTACGATTAGCCGGGGGCATCATCAGAGTCCGGTAGTTGGGCACAAGCTGAGTAGCGTTGAAGGAGAAGCCGTGATCGCCACGGTTACGGTTGATGAACAACTCGAGCTCGGTGATCTCCTGGTCGACAACCGCAATACGACCACGAAGGATGGTTTGAACATCATCGTTGCCCTCATTGACATCAAGGGCGAAGTAGCCAGTACCCTGAGCAGAATCGATAGCCAGCAGGCTAGGGGGGCAACGTTGACGATTGTGCGCCACGAGGTCATCATGCTCAGCGCAGCTGGGTGCGAGTTTTCGGTGGCCTTGTAGACGGTGGCCAATGGCAGAGTCGATGGGTCATGGGCCACCATGGAGTCCAGGACGTCGGTGATGATAGCGGTCATGCATGCTCGGGAGCAGGAGCTTGTGGTAGCCCGAGTGACCTGCGGCAAAGCTGCCCCGCCCACGGCGAACATTGCCATTGCAAGGCCCACCGGGAAGTTGAGGAGATCGGAAGGGAGTGAAATGCGCATTTTGAGTTGCTCACTAACTCAACCGAGTCCAGAGACCTTAGGATGTGTGCTGGAAAGGACTGGGGGATGACACATTTGCTTGTGAGGGAAAGAAACCTAGGCAAGTCCGCGCCTTTCTACTCTTTTATAGATGTTAGATGCGTGAAACTCGAATTGCGGGGAACCATTTTCATTGCCAAGCTTGATGCCAACTATGTAGATCATGGGGCGCTAACTGAAATTCGCCTGCCATGTTCGGCCCCACTGCAGTTCTCTGGGGTCGTCGCTCGGCTCCACCCACGTTGATACAACGAATTGATTTCACGGGGTGTCTAGTACAGAAATACAGTGGCCGTTCATTAGTATTTGGAACACGGTACTTCCGCCCACGGGTAAAAAGCTAAGTGGCGCAGGTACCATGTTCCAAATACTTGTGAACACTGATTGTAGGTTCTCAGTCTGGCGTCCTCACAAGATTGACGGTGCTATAGTATAATATTTAATAGAACACCTTGACGGTAATGAGATGCATTGGGAATGACCGGGATGTGGACCCCCGATGCTCTCCAGGAGTGTGCTGACCAGCTCCTTAGTCCATGACCCGCACTTGTGACTTTATAGCAAGCCAATGATCCCTGCTGCCAAATACCCCTCTAAGCTTCCATTGCCTTCAAGTCAACCCGCTAGTATGGATATTACTCACACCCGCGAAGATCATCCTGATGGCCTCGCGGGGCTGGAGGAGAAGAAGACCAGCAGCAGCAGCGATGCGAAGACGCTGGGCCATCTGCGCCTGCGACACGCTGAGACCAACGAGATTATTCTAGTCCCGACGCCGTCTTCTGACCCCAGGGACCCTCTCAATTGGTAAATTCGCATAGGTCGGCGCTATCCCGCTTTAATCGTTTCCTTCTGACTTATTCCTAGGCCGAGATGGTTCAAGCTGTACACAGCGGTCGCTGTTTGCTTTGCTATGATTCTGTGCAATTTCCTCGCGGCTGGTCCAACACTGGCTATTCTCCAGACCGCACAGGACTTCTTCCCCGACTGGACGGAGACTGGCATGGCTGGCCCTATCGCAAAGACTGCTTATTTTTTCAACACTACCGCGCTGTTCCAGGGGTTAGGTAATCTGCTTTGGATGCCACTGGTTAACAAATATGGTCGTCGCCCTATTTATGTGGTTGCTTTTACCTTATATGCTATCACTGCTATCTGGTGTGCTGTTGGTAAAGGCTACGCAAACTTCCTAGTAGCAAGAATTGTCATGGGATTTGCCGCTGGAGCAGGAGAGTGTCTTGCCCCTGTTACCATTGCAGATCTCTACTTCCTCCATGAGCGTGGAGCTATTACCGCGTAAGTCTTCTCTTCGCTAATATAGGATCATCACTAATTAGATTCTAGGTTGTATAACGCCTCTCTGAATCTTGGTGTTGCTACCGGAGCTATTATCGACGGCTTTATCGTGAAGTACCGCCCATGGCGCTATATCTACTACGTCGCTATTGCTCTTATTGGTGGTGTTACCCTTATTGTATACTTGACCTTCCCGGAAACAGCATTTATCAGAATAACCACATCCAGAAGTAATATTACTACATTGACTGCGTCTGGCGAACGTGTCCGTCGCGGTACCGAAGGTGAAGAGGCTGGCGATTCTGAAATCCATGAAGTTATACCCGGGTCTGGTCAAAACCGTGGATGGTTAAGCAAGGTCTCAAGTTATACCATGGTACCTACACCGATGAGTCGATCTGGCAAATGGCGATCCGTCCTATTGGACTCCTGATCCTTCCCCCGGTTCTTTGGGCAACACTGGTTATGTCGGTGACTATTGGTTTCATCGTGGCCGTCACATCTAATGTTTCGCCGGCATTTTCCACGGCTTATGGCTTTGAGGCCTGGCAATCTGGACTGTGCTTCTTCTCAGCTATTATCGGAGCTCTGGTCGGGATTTTCCTTGGGGGCCACTTCTCTGACTGGGTCGCTGACTACTTCACTCGCCGTAATGGTGGTATTCGAGAGCCGGAGATGCGGCTTCCTGCTATCATGATTGGGGCTATTACCGGCCCCCTTGCCCTAGCTCTATACGGCTGTGGTGTCCACTGGAAGCTACACTGGATTGTTCCTACTATCGGTATTGGCTTAGGTAAGTTCTTCACCCTCTGGTATTCGATATCAGACCCTTTCTAATTCGGGATAGTCAACTTCACCATCACCCAGGCCACAAACGTCTCCCTTGTGTATACCATCGATAGCTACCGTCCTGTCGCCGGTGAAGTTGTTGTCACTCAGCTTGCTTTCAAATCTGCATTCGGCTTTTTGCTGGGATTCTACACGAACCCATGGGTTGACGAGGATGGCTACAATGTAGCATACGGCGAAATGGCTGCCATTTGCGGCGCTATCCTCATGTTATGGGTCCCACTGTTCATTTGGGGCAAGAAGATTCGCGAGAAGACTATCAGCTGGAGGGTCGTGCGGTGGGTGCAGTGGGGTGCAGACCGAGAGGTTGGCGAGTAAGCAGTTTTATGCCCATTCGATTACGAGTTTAGCTCTACCGACACTATCCGACGGATTGATGCCCGGCGCAGATTCAAGTGCTTTATTTCCTAGATATATTTGGGACCTGTATGGGGAGGGTTACTCGTGGAAATCTTCAACAGTGTCGGAGGAAAGAGAAGATCTTTGTCACGGCCTCAACTTGGGTCAGCAAATCGTAGTTATTCAGCCGGACGGTGGAGTCTTCTGCCTTGTAGGGCCAAAGGAAGGATAGCATTAAAAGTTCGGAAAGCGCATGTTTGTAACAATATTTATAGGACTAAACATATATAGAATGGCTAATTTATCTAATGACAGTGACGGTGATAGTGGCCAGGATGACGAATATATATCTGGGCCACCAGTGGATGTGCCATCCAGTACTGAGGCGATTAATTGCATTCAGAATGCTATATTATGGGCTCAGCATCAAGAAGGCACTACTGAGCAAGATATCCGTAAATAGGAAATCGTGCATGTCGATCATTCTAGACATATTAGTCATCCTATCACCTTGGGCACATTTCGCATTAGGCACGTAAATTCTGTTGCACCGCGGGGTGTGCTGAGAGCGGGAGTTGACTGTACTTTGCCGGGACATGGCGAGGACCAATATATATACGGAATAGTGTCGCACTGTATTGTTGTTATATCATAACACATATACCGTGGATATATACGAATACCGCGCCATAAAAGTTCAATTGCATTTTTTTTGTATATATGATATTAATACCTAAGAAAAATTCCTATTATTTATTAATTAATCCAGCCATGGTGGTGGCAATTTATGGAATTAAGAAGTTAATGGACTCGGCAGATTTTGTTTGACGTTAAAAGTTTCTTGTCGGAAGTTGGACCACCCTCACCCGCCAGAGGGTCAAAGCCACGGATAGTAATCCAATCCGATCCGATCCTAAACGAGGCCGTGTTTGGGTGGTCAATACCATGGGTATCCAGAAAAGAAACGTGACCATTTCTTTACACAGCTGGATATTGAATATGCGATGAGCACACCTCGGGACAAGGTACATGCTGTTACCACGGCCTCCGCCGCCCCCCGTCGCCGCCATGCCTTCATGGCCTGCGATGCCTGCCGCAACCAGAAACTGCGCTGCGAAGGCGGCTCACCCTGCAACCGCTGCGCACGACTCCAGCGACCGTGTGTCTATCGTACCAGCGCGAGGCGCCGGCTCCCCAGACCTGAATCATGGTCTGCTCCAGCAGGTCGGCCTGCAAACACAGGAACTTGTCTGCAGATTGGCTTCACGTACCTCACTACCCCAGTTGATCCTTCCGATAAGTTAATACGATGCATCCTGCGGCGCGTGCAGGTCTCGCAGAGAAATAGTGGTCTTCACCACGTGGTGTTTGGCCCGACATCCAATGTATCGTTTCTGCGATATCTGCTGATGGTGATGCTGTGGGGCGATGTGATGGTGGAGGAGGAGGACGAGGTTCTGAATCCCCCGCGAGACCATGCGCTAGTCGTGGACGGAGACGATAGCGTCGATTTCTTTCATTACCGGCCGTTGCTGGAATCGCTGTGGTCGTCGGATATATGGTCGGAATTGGCGGTATCGCCGCCCACCGCGCTGGGGAGTATTCAGTTAGACATCCTGGACAGTTTCCTCGTGGTGTACACGGCTACGGCGTATACACAGCTGCCCGTGCAGCCGACGGCTTCATTCTACACCTGGCTGCGGGACGCCAGCCAGGTACCGATGGGGTACGCAGCCACCGAAACTGATCTGGTGGCGTTGTTGTTTGCATTGGGGATCGGGTCCACCATGACGTGCTATCACTACTTGGGGACGATGTTGGCTAAGGAGGCTTCGCTATTGCTGAATACCAAGGCAGCAACTTCAGTGTCACGCAATCTATACCACAATTTACTCATGATAGGTGTTCCTTGTCCCGAAGACCATTGTCACGTCTAACTGACGGTTCCCAGGAATTACGTCCAGTACTATTTACACCGGGAATATACGGAAGACGCATATGCTCTGCTCGGAACCATGGCCTCCCAGATTCACACTGCTGGCCTGCTATTGAACTGCGCAGATGACGTTGAGCAAAAGCTGTTACTAGGGTTCTATTCCATCCAGAGGTAAGACAATGACGATTGGGGCCGAGTGAATGTAGCGTGAATGTAGCTGACAGAGTGAATCAGCTATACCTGCATGGTCCTGGGACGACCGGCTATTCTTCTGCTCGATGCGGTTCAAGTCCCGGAGTTCCAGAGTCTATCCGCGCTGGATACGATGCGCACTGTCAGTCTCATTTTCACGCAAATCCAACACCTGCACAGTATGCGAGATCTCACGGTAGACACATTCTGGGCCGGAGCGGCGGGGGTTCGCCAACTCCTTGAAGAGTTTCGGAACGGAATTCTGCCTGAACCACCCAAGCCAATTGTCGATGATGACAAGGAAGATAATGGCAGGATTGGACATCCACTCGAAGTCTGTCAGTGATTTCCATCTCCGCTCTGATCTGTCCGGGCTACTAACTGAACACAAAAAGTATATTATTACTCACTCATCATTCTTTACCGTCCGCTACAGATCCTGCAAGCGTCTGCCAATGTCGACGATACTCGCATTCCGGAGTATGTGGAAATCATCGTGGGCTCTGCGAAAAAAATCATTTCGTTCTTTCGCAAGCACTTGGAGGTGGATTCGCATGTGCGGGTAAGTTGATCCGGATCTGGCCTATCGCTGGCAACAGGGGCTAATCGACCGCATCGGCCAGTACCTCCCTTCCAATGCATATTTTCTGGAGACTGCCTGCCTCTCCCTGATCCTTGACTCTCTGAACCCCCCCAGATCTGCAAGACACGTGACATACATCCAAATGACAATTGACTCGCTCGCAGAGTTGCAGTTTCAACCGGCAGCCGCCGCCCGTCTGACATCCCTGCGGGAGATTCTGCGCTCTGCCAGTCTACAGCTTGAGCTTGACTCGAGCCCCTTAACTGATGTAACGCCGGGAGCACCGCAAGAGATCCTACCCCCATCGATGGAATGGGCCACTACACTGCCCTGGAGTTACGAACTGGGACTGCCGGAAGGCAATGCGAGCGACTGGATGTGGCAACCGGTCACATAACTAGGAAATACTAAGTGAATGACAGCCTACATCAAACAAGAATGGTTGATTTATGTAACGTAACGCTCGGGTACGAAGACAAGTTGACAGCACGCTGGTAGTATTAGGGTCAGCAATACTATTGCTCAGCAGGGAGAAATCGGAATCAACCTAATGGCATTTTACGAAACAACTAAGCATGGAGAAGGAAGCAAAGAGAGAGAGACAGGAAGATGATCTATACACACTAAGACAGTGCGGAGATATAGATAGATGCCTTAGGAACCAGGTAGTTCCTCTTTCACAATCCTATTCAGGATCTTGCTGTTCTCACAGGTATAGGTGTTATTGACGCAGTTGAGGCTGCTCATGATGGACGGCAGGTTTCCCTTGATGGCACCTGCAAACGACCAGAGGTACAGCTCATGTAGTGTGCAATCATCGATATTAAAGGAGGCGGAATAGATAGTTTCCCCGGGTTTTGACTGCGAGTGTTCACTCCCGATGAAATGTTTCACACATGCTGGCTCAGGTAAAAATTTTCCTTTCCCTCCACACATGGGCGAAGAACTCATCACACGTTGTAACCCCGATGACTGCATGCCCACAACCGTAAGGCTGAGGGCAATGCTGGAGAGATACGCATCCAGTGAGAATGCCTCCCAGTTCTGCCCTCCGTACGGCGACCGTCCCAACGCACCAGCAGCTGGTCGAAAGAATAAAGAAATTGAGCATCAGCTTGGAGAATTGGAAGAGGTAGAGAGCCACCGTCAAAGCCTCGCAAGCCCTCACTTAACTCAGAGCAAAATTGGCACCTTTTGTCCTTGAACTCTTGCTCGAGGTCCAACCCTCTCTGGTAGATGAGATCTTTATTCCAGATCGCGCCGCACGACGGTCCCGCGGGAAGGACACTGGCATACGTTGCCTGGCGGATGACCAAGGGCCAATTGTGCAGACACAGGCCCTTAAATCCCAGTCGATCTATGCGCGGAATATTTCCGACGCAAGGTCCTTTCGAACCCATCCAGATCTTGTCGTCCAGCATCATTGGGCCCCTGAACGCTTTTGCTCGCTGCAGACCAGCCTCCTATCTTCCCTTTCCCGTCATATTGGCGGCGGGCATGTGAGCTCCACTCTTTCTGAAGTCTGGAATTTAACACCAGAGTCGGAACTTACGCGATGGGTAGACATTCGAAGAGGTAAATGACGCCCCACAGGTGCGCGTGAAAAAAACCAGGATTGACGAATGCATACTGGTCGAATAGCCGATGACAAGAACAATGAGTACAGGAAATCTTGTGCTCACATGTAGGAGCTTCGAGGGCTATTGATACCGTCCCTCATCCAGAGGATGCAAATGCAATATCCCATAGCCGTAGATGACAGAGGCAGGAAAGCCATGGACAAGGGCACGGTCCCCTCTAATGCAGGGTAAAGGAGAGGACTTTGCTATTCCACAGGCGAATGAGTGTGAGGCGCCATTATGGTTGTTGTTCCTCCCGCGACTACGGAATGTTGCCAAGGTCTCTCTCCCCAAGCCGAACGGCAAAAAGTCGGAAATACTGCTCAGCGGAGCATTAGGTACACCAATAGGATATCAACAAGTCTGAATTGCTATTGCACCCAGCTGGTAATTTATGCGGAGATACGGAGTACTCATGACTAATCTTGGCAGATCTACCTATAACTAGTAACTCCTTTCTCCGGTATCCATCGTGTTTCTGCCGCAAAACCCTTCCCCCGCATACTTCGGGATTAAATGGAGCTACCAGTCGGCATTGTGTGGGTCTCATCTAAATAACCTTCGGCCTGAACCAAATGCCTGCCATGATATAGAGGCAAACTGCGGGTTTCCTGCTTTTTACTTTTCAACTGCGCGCAGGGCCTACTAACCATGAACATTCTGCCTTCCAAAATTCGAGTTCATTTGGGTTACGCAGTGCCCCGGGCCCCACCAAATTCCGATATGAGTCAAGCCACTGGGTGTTGAATGAATGAATCCCTAAACTGACCGTAGTACCTATGGATCCACGCGGCAGTCTTCAGTCATTTGCGGGAATGTATTGATTTCTTCCAACTGTTAGTTCTGACTCCTTGACTAGTGGGGTTGGAAAGCTACCCAGCTGGCTTTGTGAACCGAAAGGAAGGCCGGAAAGACAGAATGGAGCGCAATATATAAGAGGCCCGCGAGGCCTCTGGCCAATTTGTGTTTGCAACCCACCGCACCAGACGTCTCTCTTTGGAATCGCAGACATGTGGGATAAGTCTCCCGCCTTCGCGCTGCTCCAGCTCGCTGGAGTGGCCTTAAGTGCGCCATCCGGTGGCGCGAACTCAACTAGCTACATCACCAGCGACACCGTATTCTATGGACTGTCCCCGCCGGTTTATCCATCCCGTAACTTACTCCTCTTCGTGGTTTGATCTTAGCGGGATGCGATGCTGATGTGCAGGCAGCGGACGCAAATGGCACGGGAGACTGGGCTGCCTCCTACGCGAAGGCACGGGCGTTTGGGGCCCAGCTCTCGCTAGAGGAAAAGGTCAACATGACCTCCGGGGCCAGCTCCACGCTCGTGAATAATGGGTGCTCCGGAAACATTCAGCCCATAGAGCGTCTTGGCTTTCCGGGCATGTGCGTGACTGATGCGGGTCAGGGAGTGGTAAGTTGATATAATGACCGTCTGAAGTCAATCACACAGCAAACATAACTAAGGATATTTATCCTGCCATCAGAGAAATGCCGATTTTGTGAATGGATGGTCCACGGGTCTGCATGCTGGAGCTAGGTAAGCTGCCGCTGCCGGACGCACGAATATGGAGCTGGCACTGATGCGTTTTTGGACTCTAGCTGGAATAAAGAGCTGGTCCGCGAGAGAGCGATACACCTTGGAACGGAATTCCGCGTGAAGGGTGCCAACATGATGCTAGGCCCTGTCGTAGGTCCTATGGGCCGGATTGCTACCGGTGGCAGAGTGTGGGAGACCTTTTCGGTGGATCCATATCTGGCTGGGAAGTTGGTCTACAGCACCGTTGTGGGCGTGCAGTCTGTTGGTGTGGCCACTTCGACGAAGGTACGGTAGTCGTTGCCATCGCCTTCTATCCGGTCCTTGGAGATCAGCGACACTAACCATGAATCCCTCGTGCAGCATTTCATCGGAAATGAGCAAGAGACCAACCGCATGCCATCAACCGATGACAATGGCCTGTACGTTCAGGCTGTTTCGTCCAACATTGACGACAAGACCCTTCACGATTATTACCTTTGGCCGTTTATGGATGCTCTGGTAGCCGGAACTGCAAGCGTCATGTGTAGCTATCAGCGCCTGAACAACTCATACTCCTGCCAGAACAGCAAGCTCATCAACGGAATCTTGAAAACAGAGCTTGGGTTCCAAGGCTATGTGATCTCGGATTGGACGGCTCAGCACGCCGGAGTCGCTTCGGCCAATGCTGGTCTCGATCTCGCGATGCCGGACGAAGGCTTTTGGATGGCTAATCTGACACAGGCCGTCAACAATGGATCCGTCGCTGTCTCGCGGTTGGATGATATGGTCACCAGGTAGGCGATTCTGTCTCCCAAATGTCGTTTATAATTTCGTATTAACCTAACCCACAGATTGATGGCTACATGGTACTATCTTGACCAGAACTCCACCGTCCCCAGCCCGGGAATTGGAATCCCCACCAATCTGCAAAGTGAGCATGCCGTTGTCAATGCCCTAACGCTCAAGTCGAAGGACACCCTTCTCAAAAGTGCCATTGAGGGCCACGTTCTCGTCAAGAACGAGAACAATGCTCTTCCCTTGAAAAAGCCCCAGATGATCTCGGTCTTCGGTTACGATGCCGTGGCGCCCACGAGTTTGGACTTCTCTTCCACCATCTACACCACCACCCCCTCCTATGTCAACTACACGCTGTGGTGTGCTGGCGGCTCCGGTGCCAGCAACCCTCCTTATATCGATGCTCCGATCGACGCCCTCAAGCGCCAGGCACGCGAAGACAGTACCCAGGTGGCTTGGGACTTTGAGTCGCAAGATCCGACCGTTGACACCTCCAGCGAAGCCTGCCTGGTGTTCCTCAACGCCTATGCGATCGAGGGTGCGGATCGCGTCAACCTGCGGGATAGTTACAGCGACACCCTCGTGACCAACGTCGCTTCCAAGTGCAACAACACAATTGTCGTGATCCACAACTCCGGCATCCGCCTGGTGGACACTTTCATCGAACACCCCAACGTCACAGCCGTGATCTTTGCCCATATGCCCGGCCAGGACACCGGTGGCGCGCTCGCTGACCTGCTCTATGGGCGCTCCAACGCGTTCGGCCGCCTGCCGTATACGGTTGCGAAGGACGAGAGTGACTACGGGGCCCTGCTGTTCCCCGCTGAGCCGGCCGGCATCTATAAGATGTTCCCGCAGAGCAATTACAAGGAGGGATCGTACCTCGACTATCGCGCCTTTGACCAGAAGAACATCACCCCACGCTACGAGTTCGGTTTTGGTTTGACGTACACGACCTTTGAGTACTCGGGCCTGAAGATTGAGCTGAAGAAGAAGGCGTCGTTCGCGGCCTACCCACCGACCAAGGTGATCCGGCAGGGCGGCAACGTAAACCTGTGGACGGAGTTGGTTACTATTTCGGTGACCTTGGAAAACACGGGACCTGTCGCTGGTGATGAGGTGCCGCAGTTGTACCTCGGCATCCCGAATGCGCCCGCGCGCCAGCTGCGCGGCTTTGAGAAGGTCACCATCGAGGCGGGCAAGAAGACCCGCGTGGAGTTCTCCGTTACCCGTCGGGATATGAGTGTGTGGGATGTTGTGCATCAGGAGTGGCATCTACAGAGCGGGGAGTACCGGGTTTATGTTGGTCGATCGAGTCGGGATCTTCCTCTGACTGGATCTTTCTCGGTGTGAGCGGAGCTGCAACTTAACTCTCGCAACGACGGTAGTGGGCTATGATTTAGGCTCCCTGGTTATACGCTGTTCTTCGACAAGTTTCCATACAGCCTCCTCGTGTTACTAGCTGATAGTGTGCTATCGACCTTTTGTAGGGGGCCACCGTGGTGGACGATTTCCATTCTTGCTTTCATTGAGCGTAGATGTTCCGACTAATGAGAGCTCTCCCTCTCTCATGAGAAGCGGGCAGAAAGGGTGGAATTTACCCGCGCTGGCAACGTCCTTTGCTAATCGATCTGCGGCGTCATTTCCCGGGTTATCATAATGTCCTGGTACCCATCGAAAGCGGAGAGCGATTCTCACCGCTAGAATCTCGGTTGGATCCTGGAAGATACGTTTGAGAACAATGCTGCACAATAAGAGTGCCTTCCCTCTACTCATTCATGATATTACCGCTTAAAGGGAGTGGGTTTATTAGAGTTATCTCACAATACCTGTATCCTCTCTATGTCAGCCTCACGTGATATCTATATTAACTACTACTTTACTTACCTATTTACGTAACTGCCTATTTTACCTATCTACCTATACTATCTACTACTTACCTACCCTACCTATCCTACCTACCTATCTTATCCTATATAGCTATATTATATAGCTATACACGAAGGTTAAGTATACCTATAAGCTTCCTATACCTAATCATACCCTAGCTTACTTATGAATAGATTAGGTAATCTTTAGATAACGTAATTCCCGCCGGTTCCGAACACCCTCTCCAAAATCGCGTCCCCCTACCTATCTAGCTAATTCAACTACCTACCATGACACCAATTCGCCCTGAATCTCGGCAGAAACTAGCCAATCAAGAGGGTAAGATCCTATTAGCTCTTAGTGATCTTCAAAATAGCCGAATCAAATCTCTACGCGCAGTAGCGAAGCTATACGAAATACCGCTTACTACACTACACGACCGCGTACACGGCTAATCATCTCGCGTTGATTCTCGCCTATCGGGCTATAAACTAACCTAATTTAAAGAGGATTCGCTTACTAAATAGATAATCTCTATAGATTCACGTAGAGTAGCGCCTAGGCCCTCTATAGTACGAGAAATAGCTAATATCCTACTAGCTACGCGTAGAAACTAACTACTAACTACCGTTAGTAAGAATTAGCTATTAACCTTCGTTAACCGTCGCCCCGAGCTTCGTATACGCTTCTCGCGAAGATACGATTACTAAAGAGCCCTAAACGAAGACCCGAAACCGATTCGGTAGTAGTTCGTGACTATATAAAGTATAATTAACGAGAACGGTATATAACTAGAGGATATCTATAACTTTAATAAGATAGGCTTTATAATAGGCCTTATATCTTCGTAGAAAGTAGTTATAAGAGCTAAATACTACGGTTAGAGATCTCTTCTATAACTAGGAAATCGTGAATAGGTTACTACGATCGAAGTAATCTACGTAGATAGCTATTTACTACTGCTATATATAGTCTTTAAAGGTAAAGTAGCTATTATAGGATAGTTTAACGAAAATCTACCAAAAGACTAGCGAATTAAGGTCTTTACTAATAGTTAGACTACCTATAAGATTAGTCTACGCTAGTTATAAAAGATCTTTATACGATATACGAATTCGCGCGTACGAGGTTAGTTTTAGCTATTAATTCTTAATAGTTATAGTAGCTACCTTATACCCTAATTTAACTAAATCTATATAGAAAACGATATTATACCTCTTTATATACCTAGATATTTATCGTATCTACTATAACTACTAGATATTAGGTATTTTATAGTAATTAAGCGCGTATATATTCAGTTCGTTAGCGATCTTACGCGTAGAGGATATAACTATATCGATAAGCACGATTTCTTAGTAGATTACTAATACGCGCGGCTAGAAGCGTTCTAATTAACTAATCCTACTATTAAAAATAACTTCGTAGCTAGCGGTCTAGTACTATTAGATACTAAGAGAGTACTTAATAAGCTTAATATCTCTCTACGAACTCTAACACTACTAAATAGCTAGCTAAGTAGTAGATCTAGCTAATTTATACTTTAAATACCTAGAACTGCTACTTAGCTATTTAAGTAAGCTTCTATATTAAAAGATCTACTAAAGTAATAGTTAAATAGCCTACTAAGTCTATTAAAACCTATTAGTATATGTTAATATATGGATGTTGTGGGGTCACATGACGAAGGACCCACTTATATAACGTCCCTCTATATCTAGATCTTCTTTTTAAGATCTATTAGATTGATCCTTAACGATCTTGTATTGAATTATATACTCGCATTAAATTGCCTACTTAGGCAGGAGACTATTTAACACTCTAATACTCTTTGCTTTCTTATGTGATCTTTTACTATGTTTCCAAGATATAAATACTACTATGTTTCCTAACTAAATTAAATTAAGTTTATCATCCTTTTTGATCTTCTCTTCTGATCGGTGTCTCTCTTCCGCAATCGTGGTTCTTCTGCTAGAGCGCACGACCTTTAGACTCATAATCTCTTGAGTAACGCGACCGTGGTGCTTTCGCTAGTACGCACGATTAACCCTACGCGACCGTGGTACTTTTACTAGTACGCACTGTTAACCACGACTTTATGGCTACCGCCTAAAGTCCGATAGTTATAAGCCCGACGCCTCTGCTCTAACCACTTCACTAATTCAATTTAATCTTCTCTTACTTTACTCTCACTTTCGCTTTACTTCTTATATAGAAGTAATAGATTTAACTACTCTATAAGCTACCTAGCTTAACTACCTATTAAAATCTCACGTATATCCCTAGATTACTACGGTTAAAGACTATATAATCGTATATGACCTATAGAAATACGCCGATCCGGACTAAGCTACTCCGTCTATCCTACCTTAGGAACTAATTAAACTATAGATATCTAATATAATTAGAAACCCTACTAATATATATATATCTAATCTTCCTAAATAGCTACTTAGGCTTATCGATCTTACGTCTAACTAATTAGCTATCTATAAGATACTACTAAGTAAATATAAATCGTTAAGATTAGACTACCTTCGATATCTTCGATCTATCGAATCTCTTAAATAAGGTATTCGATCCTCTCTTATACTAGAGGGTAGGTAGATTATTAACGGTCTATTAGTACACGAAGCTATAGTAAAACTACGTGCTACTTTACTGTCGGACTCTAGGCGGTGACCATAAAGTCGTGGTTATACACACAAGACGATAGTGTGCATAAGGATTGGTAAATACTCAATATAGTGTCTGAATACACGGTTATGAGTCTATCGGTCGTGCGCACTTCTATGAAGGAGAAGTACCACGATTATGGAAGAGTACCACTGATCTAGAAGAGAGATCACAAAGGATGATAAACTTGATTCAATTTAACTAGGTAACATAGCAGTATTTATATCACAAGAAACATAGCAAAAGATCACATGATAAATCAACAGAATCAGAGTGTTGAGAGTCTCTTGCTTAGGTAGGCAATCATATGCGAGATCGTTGAGGATCAATCTGTTAGATCTTTATAGAAGAAGATCTATATGTAGAGAGGGGTTATATGAGTGGGTCCTTCGTCATGTGACCCCATAACATCCACATGTTGACACACCCCCTCAGTTCTCGATGTGAGAGCGGAATGAGAGCAAAGTGAGAACTGAATAAGAGGAAAGAGAAAGATATGGACTAGATAGGAGGTGGTATCTCCATGCCTAGTTGTCTGATGAAATCGTCATGCTTCTGCCTAGGTAGGCGTTTGGTAAGACCGTCTGCGGGCATGTCGGTGGTTTTGACCCATTGGACAGATAGGCGTTTTGCCTGCACCTCTTGACGAATCCATAGGCGGTTGATATCCACGTGACGAAGTTTAGTCTGAAAGACTGATTTTTCGCGATTCAATAGGTCAACGGTTTGCTTGTTATCGCAATTCAACACTTCTGGTTGGTCGGTATTGAATTCGATGAATGAGAAGAGACGTTTAACCCAGTATAGCTGCTTAGCTGCGTGTGAGACAGCTAGCAATTCAGCCTCTGTGGTAGATGTGGTGATCGTCTTCTGCCTGCGAGATTTCCACTCGATTGGACCACCAAACAATGAGAAGATGAAACCTTCTGATGACTTCCTATCAAGATGATCGGCAAAGCTTGCATCGGACGAAGCAGTGAAGATCTGGCAATCTGATTGGCTGCCACCAAAGCAGATAGCTAGGTCTTTCGTCCCGTATAGGTAGGAAATCAGGTGGTCAACAGCAGCTAGGTGCTTCTCATCGCAGCGTGTGAGAGATTTAGCTAGTAGCTGATTGGCGAAAGCGGTGTCTGGTCTAGTCCACACAGCAGGGAAAAGGGTCGAACCACACTTCTGCTGGTATAGTTTAACGGTTGATTGGTTGATTTGACCAGTGATCGGATCAAGACGTTGATTGCTGACTAGTGGTGTATTAGGCGGTTTCCTGCCTAGGAGGTTAAATTTAGCAGCGATCTTCTCAATGTAGGCTGATTGGTTTAGCCAGGTCTTTCGTCGCTGTCGGTCGCGTATAATTCGAATACCGATGAATTGGGTAAGTTCACCACAGTCCTTCATCTCAAAGCGCTGTGAGAGAAGTTGCTTTATCTGGTGAGCGTGTAATCTCTCACTTCGATGGTAGGCGGCCAGGAAATCGTCAACAAACACCATAATAACCATGCGATTATCAGTGTAAAGCGCAGGGTCTTCAGGACAGCTTTTGAAGCCTAGTGAGAGAAGCATCTCTTTCACGTCGTCTTCCCATCTCTTACCAGCGATTCGAAGACCATATACTGCCTTATGTAGGCGTAGGACCATTGACTTTCGTCCTAGTCCTGGTGGGTATCGGCAGTACACTTCCTCTTTGAGATCACTGTTTAGGAAAGCGTTGACGGCATCCATCTGAAAGGTCTCTAGGTCAAAATGCGTGATGATTGCTATAAGCGTGCGAAAGGTCCTAGCAGCAAGCGTACTAGTACGTGGGTCTTCTA